GGGGGGGGTCTTCGACCTGAAAAATCAGGGGTTAGGATTTGCACCCGGTCGAAAGAAACCTTGCTATCGCAAGGGTAACTCCAGCTAGCTTCGCTAGCTTTCGTGAAAAAATCTCCTGGGAGCACTCCATGCTTTAAATCCATCTCACATGTTGCTAGATGGTGATGCAATTTTTTTATTTTTTTGGATGCTAGCACATCAATTTGGGGTGGTGTTGGGCCTGCTGGAAGGTTTACTGAATGGCTCAGAAGCAGGCTCTTGTTCCAGCGCCTGTGTGTCATCTGCAGTCCTTCACCAGTTACATATTCACCTAGTAGTCTGTGACTATGACCCTCCACCCACCGACCGTTACGCATCCCCACCCTTAGAGACGCCCACCGGGTGGCTCAGGCGCCACCGACCCAAAGAACCTCCCACCCTTTCTGCCCTACTGCCCTCCCATCCCCACGCCCTTCGCACCGTCCACAACCAGCCCGGCCCACGCCCTTCGCACCGTCCACAACCAGCCCGGCCCACGCCCTTCGCACCGTCCACAACCAGCCCGGCCCACGCCCTTCGCACCGTCCTGTCGCCCTTCACACCCGTCCTGTTGCCAGGGAGCGATCACCACCAATAGGGTGAAATAGATGCTGAGCTCCCACTTCTTCTCGATCAACGGGATCTCAGCCGGGAGCGAGACCCAAGGGCCAGACCACGAGCGTCACGAGCTGTGGGACCGTATGACATTATGGGACATGATGGGACCTAAGAATCGTTACATACAATGTATGACTGTATGACCTCAAGAATAGCTATACATGGTGTTACATACATTTACCCCATGTATGACCAACTATTCCATACATGATGTGATGCCAGTTCCAAACGGGTGCAAAACTGGAGGGAGGAGCCCAGGATCCACTCACAGGATAGGTCTAAACCCCCTCCATTGAGCTGGTGTAGACATTCAATGTGTATTCGGCAGACATGGATCCCTCAAGCGAGCCCAACGACGAACACCGTTCAGGGAGGTCAACACGATTGCAATACGCCATTCTTGGGGGGTAAATGGCAGACCTGACTACAAGATACTACAAGCAGAGGGTTCATGGCGTTGGCTCTTAGTGAAGAACATGAGTTCAACAGAAAGCCACTCGTTGATGAGACGTCGCCCATGACTTATGAAGGGTCATCATGGGGTCATCGGGGTGCTTGCATAAAGTACAAAGGACTCATACGTGACCGGAACAAAGGAGAGGGGGCAGTTGAGAGCTTGTTTCTGAAGAGGCCCCTTCACCTTGCAAACCGTACGTAGCACAGGTAGAAGCTGCTGCACACCATGGGCAGCAGGGGGTTACCTACGATCACGTATGATCAGTTCAGGTCATGCAAATGAGCCCTCCTCCCGCCCACGAGGTGCCCAGAAGCGTAGATCGATGCGATGGAATCCATGGTGACCTCACGCTTCCATCGAATCGAGCCGCTCGCCGCTCGCTGGGCTTCGCCGGTGGACATCGAAGAGGAGGTTTTGGGGGGGCCCAGCACTTGGCTGGACTTGGCTTGGTCTCCAAAACCCCAGCTTGGTCTGGCATGAGTTCGGACCAGGAGTAGTTCTCCCCGACCCGTTGACTGTTTGCGGGTATAGCGTTCGACTGGGGTCGCAGCCTGATCGACGACAGGGAAACGAGCTTCAGGATTGCGGCGGAGGTGTGATGAGAATGCCGAATGCTTGCAAAAACAAACATAGAATCTTCAATGGATGCAACATGCCGCAAACATCCGCAAACAGGTAGGTCGTTCCAACTGGTTTCTTCAAGTATGGACCCTCGAAGTACAGTAGAATATGGTGAATCCCGACATCGTTTCTTGCAGGAGTCGACATGTCGGGGTGGTTTGGTTCGTTCCATCCAGTGAGTGGATGTGACAGGGGCCCGACTGCCTCCGTTCGTTCAGCACCCCAACATCTGACGCCGGAGTTCTGCCAGGTGGCGAATTGGGTCAGCGTCCAAAAGGAGATCCACAGGCTACCTGGGTCCGACCGCCCACCCGGGCCGCTTGCTCGGACGCTTCGGACGTCGGACCCGGGCCAAACACCGGTTTGCCGGGTCCGGCGAGGGGGTGAGAGCAATGACCATCGCTTTGGGGGGAGAAAGTATGGAAATCGGTCACTTGGGTTCCGCAGCTACCCGGCTACCCCTCCTGCCCTTCAGGACCACCAACGGGGGCATCACGTTCGCGTTAGTTGGCCCTTTGGACTTCGGTCCTGATCTGCAGGGGGGTGAGGGGGGGGTGGCACGACGCGTGGGGACGATCCCCCGCTTGGAAGCCTCAAGCAGATGGATGTCACGCTCGTCCAGTGACGGTTGTCCATCTATGTGACGGTCGTGACGTTACATGTCACGTCATCTCATGTCATCACTACGATCCACTTCTGGGAGGCGACCAGTCATCCAATCCTCCGGCCCATCATCACTACGGACCAGTGGCACATCTCGGATCTGCATGATCTTCAGGTGGGGAACGGAATCCACAGCCCAAAAGGGGGGTGGACAGTGAGAGCCCCGGTGGATTGGGGAGAAAAAAAGGATTTGCATGGGATGCCCCCAAAACGGGTTCACAAGTTGGGCGGATATCAAGATCTGAGCGCACTGTCCTGAACCATCAACCATTCAAATCATAAGGGCTCTTTCAAGCAAGGCATTGTGGCGAGCGGCTGAAGCTCTTTTCAATGATCGGACCTGTCAGAGTGTCTGCTTTCAAGGTTGAGTCGTTGGCGATCATCTCGATGCCTAGCAGGGGTGACGATGACTGGACGGACTGGACGCCTTCCGCATTGGTGGTCTGGCATCGGTGGTCTACAACCCCGTGCCCTCCACAAGTACCCGAAACAAATGTTAGAAATGTCCATGCGCGCCAACCGCAACCGCAACTGTTCTATCTCGCTCTCATGGTGACCCGGTCTTTTTACATGAAGTTTCGTGGGTGAATGGACTGTCTTTTGTGAACGACTGTGGCCAGCAGTCAATCAAACATAAAACATAATCAAACAGCAATCTTTTGTGCAGGGGCGTAACTTCCTAACCCCACCTCGCTTTCTTAGATTCTTAGAGCCAGGAGGTTTTTTCTGATTCTTAGAGCTGTAGCGCCCCTCGCCAGCTCCAAGCTCCTGCACATGGCCATACTGCAGTCGAGGGATGTCAAAGGTTTGTAATTCTGGTGACATCCTCCGTGAACAAGGCACCCAGCTCTGAGGAATCACTTCTCCAAGCTGACAGGTGTACCAAGCTGACACCCCAAGCTCTGACCCCCTCCAGCTGTTGTGGCAGCTAACCCGTTCCAAGCCGCCCAAAATGGCGAAGATGTACAACACCTGAGCCCCCAGGCAGAGACAAAGAAAGAGACCAATTGGATCAACACGTGACCAATTGGTTGTCCCAGATGACATGAGATGACCCAAGATGAACTGTGATCTTGAACTGTGATCTTCTGTGATCGGCTCTCACTGGTCTCCCAGGTGGCCCTTTGCCATGGGTATCTCTCAAATGCTCATGCTGAAATATGCTGAATGGGATCCATTTGGAAAAAGAGCTAACTGGACATAACCACCTACATATATAGTATATGGCAAGTAGGTGCTCAAAAGAGTACAATCGTTTACCGTGGGCCCCACATAAAGTAGTTTCTTAATGTCGGATGGGCGTTCAAAGGGTGTTCCACAACGTCCGTGGGCCCACTTCTCTATCTTCGTTGGAGGAGAGGACCAACAAGGTCGACCCCAAACAAGGAGATGACCCGCAGACTGAGCAGCAAGATGCCAAGTGGCCAGCAGCAAGAGTGCCATGGTCGACAACATGGTGTTACCTGTCGGTCGCAGGTCGTCGTGTGACACTGGAAGCTTCGTGTCACCGAAAGCTTCGTTGGCGGATCTGTAACGAAGGAAAGGTGACGTGCTCGTGTTGGCCCACCAAAAGAGAAACACGTGAAGCAACAGTCTTGAGCGACAAATCTGCTACAGTGATGCTTCACCATGTGGATAAAGGGATGAAAAGATTGGCAAACATGAGAACATGGCTAATCCGCTCGTTTATGGCACCTCATGGGTCTTCAAAGCGCAACTTTTCATACATCTATTGCGGCGGCTTTTGGACTTCATGGTGCGGAACGTTGCTACATGTAGGTTTCGGCATTTGATGGCATTTGTAGGTCTTTCACGCAGCAAACTTGCGTAGATAGGTTCACTAAAGGAGCATTGTTAAAGGCCCGAAGGGTGAAAACCCAGAAACATCTGGAAGGGACACGGTCCATTTCTGCTACCCATGCTCCATGTCATCACCCACCACAACCACAACACCCACCCACGCCGCACTCACTCCCAAACCTATCCCCGGCTCCCCCCTTTCGCATCCTTTCGCCCGGCGAAACATGCACACCGGGTAGCAGGAAGTGAGCAAACCGGAGACCAAGCGCCAAATCGTTCGCATCTGCTTGATCCTGAGGAGACGAGCACGAGCACGATGGAGGCAGTCTGGAGGCGCTTATGTGGCCCGAAGCCACCGTTCCCCCATTCGGGAATGGTGGGAATGCATGAGGCGGCAGGCTCCGGCTGCCCCGGCTGTGTTCGGGCTGCCGGGTCAGAGGAAGATCAAAGATTTGCTGTTTTCTTGGGGGCCCTGAACATGAACCTCTTCCTGCACCAACCAGGGTTCAACTCAAAAGGCATCCTTTTGGGATTAGAATCGTTAAAGTTGGGGGGTTGGCATTGAACTCCTCGTTTCGGACCAAACACGCTCCTCTTTCTTTAAAACCTCGCTCCATTTCTCCACCAAACTCCTTAGCTGGACCGTTCCTTTGCGTTTCTGTGTTTGTTTGCTGTGTGGATGGTGTGCGAAATCCGGGTGTCCGAGACCCACTCACGCAAAGAGAACACTTCACATCACTTGTGCTCCCAGCACCTCCTCAGGTCTTTAGACCGGCCAGGTGGCATGCGGACGGCGCGGATCAAGCGGAGCAACCGCAAAGCCCTCAAGACCAAGACCTGCGGTCCGACCAGGGTCCGACCGCGGTCCGCAGGTCCGGGCGAGTGCATTGGTGTGCTCATCGGTGTAGACAGCATAGAACCACCCCAAATCGTGCAAAATTCGTGCAGAAGAAGTAATTCAAGGAGATGTCAACCAGCGATCGGTTCATGTGATTCGATGTGTTTCAGCTCAACTGCTTTTTCCTGGCTAGCTAGACCACACTCTGAGGTACGTTCAACTCTCGCCTGTTGGATGATGGATGGGACGGTCAGCACGGTAGCAAAGATCTGACCGATAAAGCCTGCGGAGAGGATCCCCAGAGCTGCCCCCCAGGCCGATCGCTCGTCAGCGCCCTCAAGATGTTCGCAAGTCGATCTGGTGTCAGCCGGTTTCGTGGTTCGGCTCCAACCACTGGTAGTTATCCCTCAGTGATCCTCTTGTATCCGATTTTATCCTGTTTAGGCTGGCCAAGAGGAAAGCACCCCACCCATCTCTTTGCCCAAGGAGCTCAAGACGACCAAGATCAAGTCAAAGTCGAACCAAGGATCCTTAAAGGCTTTCCTCAGCCGCCGGCTCAGTCAACACGGAACTTCCGTCGCAAACGACGCAGAGTCACTGAGTCGAACGGAATCCCCCAAAGGACCTGGGATTATAGTAGATGAGATGGTTGACCCCTTAGGAGACACATCACATCACAAAAGATTCTGCCGATGGGTTCGTACCAAGTTTGTGCGTACATCAGACTGAAAAAAGACAAGTGATTGGTGTTTGATTCGGCTCGTGACAGGGCAGGTAAACCCACCCCCACACCCCCACACAGAAGGTCTTTCAGGTACCAACTCATGAAGTCACCAATGGAATCCAGAAGTCCTACCCCCCGCTGGCAGACTCAAATGGACCTGAGAATTGAAGACCCTTTTCCTCTACAACCCAGTGGTTTGGGGGTTCCATGTGGTCCTTCGACACCAGTCTCAGACCCAGCTGAGCCAAGGGACCACTTGTGCGCAATGAGCCGGATCACGATCTCCTTGTTGTCATCGGATGTGAGACGAAAACATCCGATCACCACTGAACACCAAGAGTTGGCACTGTATGTGTCCTGTTTCTTTGTTTAAATCAGACTTGTTCATGTTTGTCATGTTCGTATGCTTTAAGTGTCTGTTGTCTTAAAACTTTTGTCACCCATATTCGCTGTTGTCAGAGGCGAGCTCCTTGCGTCCCCTGAAACAAGGTCACCAGAATTGGATGTATTTTCTCGATTCTTCAGTGTCTACAGTAGCCTAAAGAAGTGTGAAAGCCTTTCTGAGATCAAAGGGTTTCCCCCCTCTGCACTGAAGGTGTCACACTTCTGTCCCCCTAAGTTGCCCAAAGGGTTCAAACACTCCAACGTACTCACTCTCTCTTTCTCTCTCTCTCTCTCTCTCTATGCGGAGTCTTGCTAGAGTCTAGCTGTCTCCTCTCCAACGTGCTGTCCCCCTCTATCTCCTGATATGATTCCCGCCGGTTTCTAATGACTTGAAAAGACCATTCCTGCTTATTAACAATGCCCTTTTGTCAGGCAGCCTGGCTCGAATTCCACAGCTTGGGCAACCCCTCACCAAGCATGGATTTGATTCAAGTGGAGAGCCTTGAGGTAGTATATGCATCAGTCCTTGAATGTGGAATACATGTCGTTTTGTCCTACCGTCCTACTTGCCAGAAGTCCACAAGTTCAGCTGTCCAACTCTACCAAACCGGTTCCAAATGTCCTCCCTCCCTGACAAGTCCGAGTACAAAACCCACATCGACTCATCAAGTCAGGAGCCCAAGGATACCAATGAAATCAAACCCAACATCTCAACTCAACACCAAAAAACGTGTTTAATGAGATAAACACCAACCCTTCACAGACACCATTCCGAGGGAATTCAACCTGGGCCAGTTTGGGAGTCCCCGTCCCTCCCCCCCAACGAAAGAGCATGCTGTTCTTCCAAAGCGGCAACGGTGTAGACCACCAGAAAGAGGATCTCCATGACCCTTGGCGCGACTTCGACTTGGCCCACGCGCACCGTTCGGTGGGCCCGCACCCTCTAATGCCCTCGAAAGGCGACGTCACAAGGACCCACAAAGGGGACCCACAAGGCCATCAGTCCACATGAGAGGGTAGTTTGAAGGCTTGACGCCGGTGGAGCTAAGAATCTGAAGCCAAACTTGATCATCTTCTCCGCGGATACTCAGGTCACTCTCCACACCGATCATAATGGCATTGACCTCAGAAATCGCATGTGCACATATGTGCACTGGGCCTGCTGAGCACCCTGCTGCAGCTGGCACAATATGCATGTCTCTTACCAGGCCGCCAAATCAATTCAGATAGGGTACAATCGTTATTCAAACATTATCCGTGCGTTCTGACCTCTTGCCAGCAAATAGAGGATTATTAATGGGCGGCACTACATACTAGTAGGAGAAAGCGTGGTGGCGTGTGCTGATCTTTAAGTTTGATAAATAAGATGAGAACTGTGTTCAGTCATCAATTGATTTCTTGGAGGCCGAAACAGTTCATTTGACAAGGGTTTGACTGGCAAAGGCCATGATAGAAAGCATGCCTATGTGCATGTAGATTAATTACATGTATGTCTCATGTAGTATGTTACTTTAAATAACCACTGTTTGTTGGGTGCCAGATCTGCCAAAACGATGAAATGATGCATTAACAAAATCCGTTTTCAGAGTTCATAGCCTTCTTCTGTGTGCACTGGGGCAAGGGCGGGTCTCAAGCTGAGGCAACTCCTTACTTTTTCTTGGAGGTGTTCCGGTAGACTTCAGAATATAAACAATACAGAATACAGAACAAAACAAGTGTCCGATCTAGATCCCCAAGGTCCAGAGTTGCAGGCGCTCTGCGTCCTTGCGATCATCTACCAACCAAAAGCATCAAACACATATATGTGTTATACATATACAGACATATACATATATATATAGATTATAGATTATAGAAATATATGATATATGATATATATTCTGTGATTATGTGTGTGTGTGCCCTGCCAGCCACTGGAACAACCTGGAGGAACCCTGATGAAGCACCTCCACCCTTCCCTCGCGTTCCACCGGTCCACCTTCCGTCACGGTCCCGGGTCCAGTGGAAGAAGGTCGGTCCCTTCAAGGGGCCAAAATCACCACCGAGATGACGCACTCGAAGACGTTGTTTCCAACCACCCTCCTGCCATGCACTGCCGTGCACTTCTGGGTGGAGTCCATGGGGTTCCATGTGGAGCCCTAAAAGATTGATTCGGAGTCAACTTCTTCGTGGGAGGACCCCTCAGGCTTACACCGCTTTCTGATCTCTACCTCAAAATTCTCTGCTGATGTCACCCGGTTTCTCTGAACTACGGTCCTGAAACAAGGGTGAATGCTCAAGAGCTTGATTGCATGAGTCTAGGCCGCATACAACCAGCGCAACTGGCACTCAGACTCACACACCCGAGTCTACCTCTGGGAGTTGTACAGGAATGGTATCTAGACTGCTCACTTAGAGTCCAACCCCAGGCATTCATGCACTGGCTGGGAGTCCTTCCTTTTCGGAGTGATTTCAAACCTGGCCGAGTCCACATGTGGCACGCCCCACCAGGAGCGTGGAATAAATGCCCGGATCGTGCGCCTGCACTTCCGCGCGCGCGCGCGGAGGCACCGCACCTGCACAGGTGCACGATCACCGGCCACCAGCCACGCTTCCCATACCAGGAGATGCTGCGCACCTGCCGCGTCGCATTCCTCGGGGAGCCCGGCTCTCTGCTCGGCCGAAGGCGCCTCTGGAAACGACCGGTCCGAAGCCAGTTCGCTGTTTGCGGAGGTGTGAAGTCCGTTGGTAGTAGAGGAAAACGGAGTGAGTATAAGCGGTATAGGTATGGGCCGGGGTGTTTAAGACACCTGATATGAGAAGTTGTGCTTCGTCGAGCAGTCATTCTAGATGTTGTCCTTAGGTCCCATGACAGGCCCACGCCAAAGAAATACATAAAGCATCATATTAATGTTGATACCCCTGGCAGCCTCACACCAAACCTAATCAGTAAGGTATTGCATCCTCCCCGTAAGATCCCGTAAGTATGGCCCATGCGGGCCGTACGAACCTCTTCGTGCTGTGCCCAGTGTCCGATGTTCCTCCATGAGCTTGTTCAGCACCACGTTGTCCGTCACTCGGCACGCGCACGCGCGCTCATACGGCTGAGGTGGGCGGGGCGGAAGGATCACAAGATGCCCATGTTCAGAGACGCTCCAAAAGCAGTGGGAGTCCAAGTGAAAAAGGCAAAACGCACTGCGATTCTGCTGGGTGCCCATAGGTGCACGCAAGCTTGCAAGATATTGCAGGATGTTGCCTCATATGTGAACACAAACATAGAAATCGTTGGGGATGTGAACAACCCACCAGCTGGCATATTCCACTGGAGTTTTAAGATCATTTTACAAACCACCCCAATTCCGATCGGATTTCCTTGCATTCCCATCTAGTCAGTTGAAATCGTGTGTTGCACGCGTGTTCCAACGTTTAGCTTATTCTTGGAAAAACACACTCCGCATGAACCCCACGCATCCCATCTCATCCCATCCCATCTCTCACCATGCATTCCCCCATACGCCAGGCCACATCCGGGATTCGCCGCCCTTGGTGCCGCATGCTGGGGCTGTGAAAGGAGAGGCTGGACGTGTCGAGCCGGACGAATCTGGAGGAATAATTGGGAGGATTAGCGACTAATCCCTCACCCTAGTTCAATACCCTGAGCCCCTGAGTCTCGCTGGAAAAAATGTTTGACCCATTCAACCCCTTTTCCACCTGTTGCCATCTCCCTAGCCGCTAGCCTCTGTAGCTAGCTCACCATTGACACTCTGGTCAAACGATGGAACCCTTTTCCACCTGTTGTTGGATTGGAGTGGGGAAACCTATCCACGGACTGGGCACTGATAGTCTGATAGTTCATAAATGGAGAATGCACTTGTCAAAATGTGACAATCATCCACGATGGGACATGGATGCCGAAACTCCCTGTTCAGTTTTGTGTGCATGTGCTTCTCTAAGATTGTCCTCTTGTCTTGTGTTTGTTCTGGTCGCCTTGGCCAGCTTTGCCCATCTAGAATTGCCGCTGAGTGCTGTAAATGACCTGGGTGTGCACTCTGGCACTAAGCCAATGTAAGCCAGAGTATGTTAAATGATGCCCCAGGATAGCCGGGTAGCCCATGGGTAACCCAAACGATGGGTTCTGGCGTGACACACTTGGAATATATATATATATTATATACACCATATGAAGACTCTTGATAAATTAATACGTACAAACCCTCCATTTGGATCCAAAAAACCCTCTCAAATGTTTTTCTCCACTCAAGTCTGCCACACTGTCAGCATTCCGATTTCCGATGGAGGATCCCTCTTTCGCACTGTTCAAACCAGATGAAGATACTTACCGCATCTTGCTGGGGTTTTTGAAGCCGAATGGAATTCACCCTAAACCCTTAGGGAGGCGCCTATTTGAGCGTTTTCTTTGAGAATCAGTTCAAGAATGATCAAAGAAAATCACCCAGATTGGTCCAGAATCCCATCATCACCGGCAGGGGGCCCAATTGGATGGTCCACCTCTCTTCATTTGCACCCAAGAAGCTGGCTGCCTGTCCCCTCCTCCTCTTCCTCCGGATCTTTCTCGTCATCCTCGAGGGAAACAGCCTCACAAAGGCACCAACGGCGAAAAAAGGGTGAGCAGAAAAATCCGGAAACGAGTTGTTTCGAAGTGCTCCGCAACCCAAAGTCAACATACATGCCATAATTATAACATTTGGACATGCTCCAAGTGAAATACTTGGATTTGCTTAAGGGAGCTGGAAAAATAGAACATGTTCCCCGGAAGGGGATTTGCTCATAGGGTAAATTTGATCACAATCACCTTAAGCAAAACCAGGAATAGAGCGGCTTGGGTATTTATGGTAGCAGTATGGTCAATAACCCCCATGATCGACGGAGAAACACATGGGCAGGCCTCTTTGGTCTCAATCTTCTTGATGACGTCCGCAGGCGCCTCCCTCAGATCAACCGCAGGCTCCTCTTGTCCGGCCAGCGCAAACGCGCGCGCGCGCGAGGAGAAGTGGAGCAAAGTGGAGGATTGGTTCATGGCCCTCCCTTGGCAGGTTCCGGAGAACGAGTCCCCAAAAAATCAGCTTTAAACATGTTTAAACCGTTCAAGGCGGGGTGATATAGATGTTGAACACTATTCCAGAGGTGCTTGACCTCCCGGAACAATTATGTCGGTTTGGTAGGTACAAATGATTCCAAATTGATTACATCAAGCAGGCGCATGAAAGATGACACATGTCCCTCAACGCGCTTTTCATGTTTCAACTCCAAGGTTGCCTCGGGGTTCAGGACCTTGAAGAAAAATAAATTATGACATGACACAAAAAATCTTTAGCAGGGCCTGAGCCTCCCAAGTAAATCTGGAACAAGAAACAAATCAAATATACTGGACCCTGGTATATATGGGTTCTTCTACATACTATTCCTAATCCCCAGCATCGAAGTGGAAAATAGCCCCTTGGAAAGTCTTCAAAGGGGCGATGCCATCCACGGTGATGGATTGGACAATGATGGGCCAAACCAACTCCTGAGAGTCCAAATTGACTCGGCTCACCCGCACCACTGGGCCAAGACCGGGTGAATTCGCCCTCCCTGGTGTGACTCGCTCGGCTCGGCGAACGGAGAACGCGCCAGGGTCCTGATCCTCGACCACAGCCACGTCCAAAGCCACCTGAACAAGGTGAACCGACATCAACTACAAGTTTCAGTCCCCTTGCCAATTTTACGGCATATACTACTTGGTGACTGAGGGAGAAAAAAAACACCACTCACGGTCAGCCCAAACGTCTACATCCACCCGTACCACCCAGTCAAGCCCGTTCATGAAGTTCAGTTTGAGCTTTGGGAAGCTCCACTTGGGAGACCTTTGGGCATGAGGTCAGCAAGGGATAGTAAGGGCATGAGCAGCATGGCAAAAGTGAAGGGACAAAAAAACGAGCGCAGTTCCAGTTCGGAATGCCAAACTGCTTAAAACCGGGGCATCACAATAGCTTTTCATGAATTTTCAAGGCAGGTAAGTCTAAGATAGTCTAAGTATGACTGGGTCCTAATGCAAAACAAGTCCAGCAAAACACCCGTGTCACCACACACATCCAGATTGGGCGACACTGACGAAGCAAATGCTTATACACATGTATATAATATATATATATATAGGGTTCATCCCAAAACACGAGGTTCTTGGAGAAAACACGAGGTTTCCCATTTTTGTGTTTTTTTCCGCCCATGCCATCTTCGAAGGCCGGGCCACAGGAACTTGAATTCAAACTCCAAAAGCCCAGGTTGATGATCAGAACGAAAAAAATCTCAACCAACATGCAACTATTGTACCCCCCTAAAACCCGTGAAAAAAACAGGGGTTGTCACGGTATAATCACGGGTTTGTCACGGGTTCGTCACGGGTTTGGGAAACACAATGTTTTTCTGAAAACCCGAGGTTTTTCATGCAAAATCAAGGGTTGACACGGGATAATCACGGGTTTGACGCGGGTTTGTCACGGGTTATCGGAGCTCTCAATCACGGACCCGAACTTTTCCTGACGAGTGTTGAATGTTCTTAACATATTGTTAAAAATGTTTTGACCCAGGAAAATTTGATAAGTCGGCGGGAGAAAATGAATATGGAGCACCTGCACATGGCTATCGAGGGTTTTGGGGCAAAACACGAGGATTTGGTTAAAAACCCGAGGTTTTCCCTTATGTCACCGCTAAACCCGAGGTTTGTTTTCAAACCCGACAAATTTGTAGGGTTCAGATGCTCAGGGTATATATTACTATACACATATTGGCACAATATTTTTCTTGTGTTTCGAGATCTTGGAAGCTGAACCTCTCAGTGTCCCTGGAAAAAAGGTTATCATACGCGTAGGTCATCCTTTTTCCACCTGTGCCTGTTGGATTTCAGTACAATATGAGGAATCCAATCCCCCCCAAACAGGTTAATTATCCAGGTTCTGCCACTTTTCCTGGGTAGGCTTGGGGATCCCCCAGCCACGACATCGATCTCGACTCATCCGCTCATCCTCAGGCGATCCACGTTCTTCGCCTGTCCTCTCGCGAACCGCGGCGCGCCTGCTGAGCCCATGGGCGCTTGATCATCTCATCCAGCCGCAAGGATAAACCCTGCAGGGCCAACCTGGCAAGGTCAAACCGGAAGGATCTCGACGCGCAAGCGCGTTGGGAACTGGTCGGAAGGTGTGGAGGTCTGGTGAGACCATGGAACTCCTCAAGTGCCAGCAACCCATGGCAACCAACGTGATTGTTCTTGGGGATGCTACATGCCGCCGTAGGCGGTGGTCCCTCGATTTCGAGTCATCATTCATCAACCCCCCTTGAATAGGAATGACCCACTCAACCAAAGGAGCCCCAAAGCTGATCCGGCCAATGGCCTCATAATCTGGGAACTTTACGCAATCCTGGTCATTCATTTCAACAGCATTTTACATGACCTTGCTCACTTGACTCTTCCCGGGGCATTCCACCTGGAGGTCGGTGATTCTTTTTGGAATCAACGTGCAACCAGGAAATCCACAGCTGGAACTGCTCAAGTTCAGAGCTTACAAGATCCTTTGCTGCTTCGTCCGGTCACTTAGAGCCACAGAGATCCCCGGCTGCCCGGCTGCCCGGCCCCCGTGCCGATCCTTGAATCTGCCAGCTGAGAGTCCAAATCCTTCAGATTGGCCTCGCGACAGCGAAAACGAGAGCCACTGAGAGGGATCCCACAGAGAGCCGCTGGCTGGCTCTTGAGGGCTCTCAGCATTTCCCATTCTGTTTCAATGTCCGATGAGCGCCTTTTTGTTTCAAAAGGGTCTACCATGTTTCACATACCAGGACACCCTAATTAAGGGGTGTCTATTGATAGCCCCGAAAAGAGGTGATTCGGTGTGTCCATGAACCACCCAACTCCTGGGGGTCCCAGTATGTTTCATATATGTTTCATCTGACCTTTCGACTTGGGAAGGTTCCCTTATCTTGCTTCACCACGGCGAGCCCGACGGGTCCACGACTTCCTGTGCCTTTTCACCCAGACGCGGCGAACATGGGACTGCCATAGGACTGCCGAGAAACAGCCAGGGGTGGTGCCAGCGGGGTCAATAGGGCGGCATATATTCCAGTCCCATGGAGTGTCTAGGATATATATATATATAACTACATATATATAAGGATATATATATATATGTATATTTTGTACATATACATATATATATATATATTATGTTATATACATATATACATTATCATTATACGATCTAAATTGGTTTAACTATGGTATAATTAAATGGGCAGTAGTTCCACGGATCCGGTCCTTCACCTCGGTATACTTACCCTGGAGCCCCCCAGCGGCGGCGGGGCCGCCATGGCCCGAGACTCGGTACGCGGCTGCAGCTGAATGGCAAACTCTTGGGGTTTGAATAGGGGACTCCCATGGGGGACCACGTTGGGGTCACCCTTGGAATTTTCGGGATCCGTTGGGGGTCGCCCCCATAGATCAGACGTGCACGGGCTGCACGGGACCCAAAGAATGGCGAAACCAATGGTTCCCCAAATTGGGTTTGTATGCATGCTACATGGCTACCATATGCGACAATATCGATCAATATCTTGGGTTCGCGCATTGCTGTACTTCACATTTATCGCACCACCCACATCCAGACCATCGCACCACCTTGATAGGAGCCAAGATCCATGGAGGCAGTGCGGCCGCTCTCGCGCGCGACGGAGCAAGCGAGTAACGGAACGGCCCGCAGTGAGACGCCTCGATGGAGCTATGCTGCACCTTGACGCTGGCGATGAGCTGATCCGGCTGCGCCAGCCTCGGGGCGCCGCGCGGCGCGGCGAAGGTGGACGGTTGAAGGGAGCTTTCGGTCTACACTCTTCGGAGCGAAGACCTCCCGAAGCTGGGTCTTCGGAACAATGGTCAGCCAAAAATCGGGGCCGCTCTCCATCTACTTCCATCGACTGTTCTTCAGGGAAGTGTGAACCAAAATGTAGGGATTCCCTGGATCCACACACAGAGGCCAACATCTTTCGTCGGATGTGTTCCAACTCACCGTCCTTCTCGAGAAGTCGCAAAAGACAAGCTGCGAGTCCCTCGAAGCAAACCCCCCCCACTGCCAAGCTATTTCTTTCGCTCGCCCAAAACACCACGCTTCCCAGGTCCGCCAGGTCCGCCGTGTCCGGCGGTCCTGCCACGTCCGGGAGCACCGTTCCGCGAGGCTCACTGAGGTACAGACGACTCTTGGATCGCCTTCATGTCCTCCAGGATCCCTTCCCAGCCCACATTCATCCTCAACCGAATTCGCGTGCGCGCACCGCGCGGCGGATCTCGCCGCGGTGTTGAGGACTCCGGTCTCCGGACTGCGCCACAGGGAAGCTGGACCTTCTGGTCAACTGACGAGTCTTGTTGATGCTTTAAAAGGTTGCCAGCACCAGTGAAACCTCCCTCCAACAATCATGGCAAGTGAATGGCATGGCCTGTGAAAGACCATGTTCTTTCCCCCTACAATGCTGGTCGACTTCCATGTTTGTTGCAAGGGAAGATATTCTCATGTTTCTTCCATGTGCTTCCCGACGTGAACTTCCAAACCTCGTGACACACCAACATGAGTCCCGCCGTGTCCCGCGACCGTCAACAAAGAGCGACCGTGCCGGCCTACACACGTCCGAGCGCCCCCCTGCCGAGTGGCGTCTTCTCGCGGGAGTCCCGGTAGCACAAGCACGCCGCCGCCGTCTCCATTGCGCCGAGAGGAGGCGAGGAGCTCGGCGAGGGAGCTGTGAGTCCCCGGAAGGTTCCCAGGCGCCGAAAGAGTGGTCAGCAGCTGCGAAGACAGAGGGTGATGAGACGGCAGGGCCCTGCAAGTCTGAAAGTGAACATCTGATCCATGAGATCTGGATGAAAGGATGATGGATACAGAGGTAGAGGTAGTGACAAATCCATCTAAGATCATCTAAGAGTGAAACTCTACAACATGGTTGAGTCATGGCAGGACGAGCCCATTTTTGTACACGATGTTTTGAGGATTTTGGGGGTCTCAAAGCCCAAACTACCAGGAAAATACCTCTCGTGCCCAAACTACCCTTTAACTCTTGTGCCTTTGGCGACATCACCCCTGACCCGGGCGGTGAACCCCTCCGTGGGCAGGTCCCCCTCCGCAGATCGCTCTGTTTTGGACTCAAGCGACCTCAGCTGCGGATCTTTTTCGGCTCCGGCACATGTTCCATGGATGGATGTATTCTGCTTCAAGTTCATGAGGTCAAAATCAGCCAACAAAGGCTTGTAGAGGTGGCAAATGTATAGGGCCCAGGCCTTTCGGACTTTCATTGTTTTGGCTTCAGGATTCAAACTCCTAAAGAGGCCCAGTTCTGAACAACACATCATGCCATAAGAACAATGACCTCTTTTCTGTCGCGAACGCCCACCACCTCATTTCCTCTCCTCGCTCACCCCATGCCGCCACCTAACACAACCAGCTACTTCCCGCGCCACACGTGGTCTGGAACCCAGGCACGTTGGGCATCCGCTTCCGCTTCCCAGACTTCCCGAGCTGTGCACGGCGCTGGCTCAGCACCTTCCGCTTGAATGTGCCGCCAGGAACCCCCCGGCGGTGGCGCAGAGTGGGTGGCAAATGTTCAAAAAGAAGCAGATATATCCACCAACCGTCCATCACCTGTACAGAATCAACCAACGTGCTTCAGGCGAAAACAGAAGAACGTTTGAACCGTGGAGACGGAGGCAAAAACAGCACCGACCCTGACGAGATCGAATAAGATCGGAGAAAGCCACGGGGACACCTCTTGGCTCATCCTGCCTTCCTTTGCATCATTTTTCTGGCCTCCTCCACCTCCAACAGGCGTACACGATGGATGCCCCATCGGACCAATCGAGGCAGGCTTAGCCTCAGATCGGCTGAATCAAGAGCAAAGACTCACCTGCCTCAAGAGCAAGCACTACCATCACACACACGAGAACAATTACACCAGCATAGACCATGCGTAAGCAACTAATTCTATAAAAACAGAAGCCAAGGGGGTTCAAGAAAACTCAGGCGCGACCTGTCTTGTGCATGGTCGACCTGTCTTAGGTTCTTTCCGGACACATCACAGAATTGCGTGTCGGTTGAGCGTTTTTTCAGAGCTTCGTTCGCAACGGAACATCACACCGCTTACACTTCATCCGTCCAAGGGGCCATGCTCCACGTAACCATGTTAGTTCCAGGGAGTGTAAATGACGACTGTTTGGAGAGGGGCAAGGAGCGACATGGAGCGACATAGAGGGGGAGAGAGGGTTCTCAGGGCAAGTGGCGCCGAGGAACGCCTCGGGGTGAAAGACCATTTTCCACGATATATACAAACAGGTGGTTCTTCCACTTCCATGTTAGTTCCAGGGGGAGTATGTAATTTGGAGACTGGAACCAGCCCCTGCAAATGATGCTTTTCGATGCGACAACATCGGGCCCTGTCCAAAACCCTGTCACAAGCCAGTGGGGACACCCCTTTTTGTGCCCGGTCACCTTCTTCGGACCTGCCACCAGTTGCCATCCGAGCGTCCACTCCATCTTCTCCGGTGCTTTGTTCGTCTCTCCCTGTTGCTCTCCCTGGCGTCATGCGGGTAATGGCGCCAGGATACCTTGGTTGACCTACTACCTGGAAGGTCTTTCGTTACATGGTGGACCAGGGCTCCAGGATGCCCCAGGTTCTTGACCAATCCCCAAACCAAACACCTCCTGCTAACACAGTTATAGAGAACCGGCATGCCATCATGTCATCCTTTTGCTCTTCGCTCTGCTTTTGAGGTTGAAGATGGTTGGAGGCCCCAAAAAAACCGCGGCCTGGCCTTCAGGAGCTGTTCGGCTGTGCGGAGCTCTCCTGAGACCGCTTGGGCCATCTGAGCATCTTCGGCATCCTCCACGCGCTGAAGGACTTGCCTCAGAAACGCCAAGCAGCCGGAAACGACCGAACTCAGGCAGAGATCGGGCTGAAATCGGACGGCTTTTTGTGGTGGAGCTGTTCTCGGAAACGAGATCGCCATGAGTTGTTCGGATGTTTGAGGGAAAGATAGGGTTTTAGGGCCTAGGGTTCTGAGTGCGTGGGTGATGTTCATCAAATGTGCTTCTTCGGGCAGTTATTCCGTATTTTGGGGTTTTCATCATGGTCCGCATCACACTCCTGAGGCATACCAACAGACATAGTTTGGACTCTTGGGACGCACATGTGGGCTACATGTCTCAATGTTGGGCACGGCCGCTCTGGTCATCAGCCGCGGGCGCTGGTCCTTTCAAAGGTCGTCTCCCAGCGAGCTATCCGACATATGAGCCATGCCAAAATCCTCTATGCTAAGCCTTTATACTAACAACATACGTTCGCACTAACAACATACTATCCGATACATGTTTCATGATGTTCATGATCAGTGTCTTGTGGATTTGGCAGCCAGTTAATGGCAAGATTCCTAAGATTTCCTAAGGAACGAAGCACCAGAAAGCACCAGAAAGCATATGGATTCCACCACAGCGACTCTGTCCGTGAGCTGAGCTGATTGGAGCTTTGGAGATCCACCCCGCTTTTCCAGCACGAAGGCTTCAGCCGTGGCTGGTAAAACCCAACGGTGTTGACTGTTGAGATGGGTGAACGGACACATCCAATGAAGGAGGAAACAATAAGTCAATAAGTCAACAAGTGCTGTATAATCAAAGTGAAGGTCCCCCAAAGCTTGTCTCTCAAGTCATTCCCGGATGCCTCTGTAAGACTTTTCTAAGCAAGCATTTAGCCTCCAACCTAATAGTGTTGGCCTCCAACCTAACAGCAATGGCCTCCAACCTAATAGCGATGGCCTCCAACCTACTAGCGATAGCCTCCAATCCAAGAGCGATCTACAAAGTAAAGGTCCTCCAAAGCGTGTCTCTCAAGTCATTCCCCGATGCCTTTGTTTGACTTCTAAAGCAAGCATTTACATGGCTCAAGTTTTTTCACTTGACTTCTAGTACGTCACCAGGTGGCTCGAACTCCGTCATGCTGGGTCTCAGCTCTTTCCTGAGAAGCCATGAACGTCACGTCGAGTCAAGTGTACCGAAACCACACACGCTTATGCACGCGTACAAGAACTTGCATGGCATTGCACAATTACACAGAGAATACTGGGTAGTGGAAAGGAAACTCTTTTGTGAAATCACGAAGGCCGGGGGGGCATACATTTTCAGGGCCACACAATATATCATCATCTCTGACCTTTCGGCCATGGCTCACATGAGATGGACGGAGGAGCTGAGGAGAAGGCACAGGCACATCCATAGTCCGTAATGTATTCGCGGTTCACATCGCCAAATGGTACAGAATAATGTACGACAGTTCACACACCCTTTAAGCTTCAGTTGGGTTCATGGTAAGGGCTTGAAAAAGTGTTCCTGTAACTATATAAATCTGTTTCTCCACAACTTTCGAGAAAAAACACTCAAGCTTTGAGAAGAACTGCTTCAGCATCAAACACTTTTTCCTAAAATCCACACCCAGCCATTCAGCTGATCTCTCTGGTGAGATAAGTTGGAAATACAAACTACAGAGTTCACTGAGGCCACTGAGGAACTCCCTGCAACCCTCCACCGACATTGGCACCAAGCCGCACGTGCCGCTTCGGTGAAGTCGCTTCTGCCGCAGCGGCAGCCTCCCCCTCCGGTGTCGCAGTGGACGGCACGGGTGACAAGTGAGGAAGAATTATTCACACATAAAAACTTGGAATGACAACTGCTAAGTTCATTTGAGGTCAGTTCACACAATATGTCATAGTAAGTCAGTTCATTTGAGGTCAATGTTTGCCATGACAACTGGCTAGATTCCATGCGAAGAATGGGGAGATTGGTCCTTTATCGGTCTTGAAAGGTACTCTGGCTCTGTGACTGGCCAGTCTGGCTGGAATTGAGGCCGAACAAACATACTGTAGATTGATGCAATAGTAACCCAGCATGGGTATTCAATTCCAAACTCGTCCCGATTTACATGAAACCTGAGAAAGAAGCTTGAGAAACATGCGTGAATACCCCGTCAACCTCCATGCGAAACTGGCAAGTGTGACTTGGGTCACATGTCATCGAACCTCAAACTGACGTGCTATATCATGCCCTATGGCACATACCTTCTCAGAAGGTAATTGGACCCTCCAAGCCTACATAAATAGTCTCCAATCACTTTCTCAGAAGGTATGTGGATCCACAGGGATGCTATCTTGCTGCGCGTTTCCCTGCGCTCTCTCCGCACTTGCGCCCCCAGCACCTCCGGTTTCTGCATACTTTCTGCCGATTCCAAAGGGTCTGAGCATTGCTCCGTGGCCTGCCGTGTGGGCTGGGGCCATGGGGGCCCCACGCTGGACCTCGTGCCGTCGGGTGACGAAATGAAGGTGTTCGGCTGGACCGCATGGCCTGGAGTGCCATTCACGTCTTCCAACAAGTGGTGGTGTCTAGATCATTCTTCCCCCCGGACACGTACTTCACAAGCATGTCACATGTCACCTTCAGTTCCTGTCTTGCAGGTGGGTGTTTCGCAGCAGGGCCTCCTTGGGCTGGCAGGAGGTGAAAATCATACTCCGAATCCAAAGACCCAAAGGTCACCAAATATAATGTCAAGACCGGATTAATAAACCCCCCCAAGTCGGGAAAGGTCAACAAAACCAACAAATACCAACAAGGTCTAAGGTACCATCCATGAGGTCCACCTGCCCTGAATAATCTGCTAAAAAGGGAGTTGTAGTAGCAGTCGTCGTCGTAGTCGTAGTGGCAGTCGCAGTCGTAGAAGTCGTCGTCGTCGAGTAGCAGTAGTAGTAGCAGTAGTCAT